ATGCATTAATGTTTGTCTTACCAATAATGTTATATATTTGATTTTCACGTGAATAATTAAGTTTCAGAGAATTTCAATTAATTCGGATTTGGGCAGTATCAGACTCAATCGGACATTTCGGAAATTTTTTGTTGAGGCGTAACTAATATCGCCTAGATTTTGGATTCAAATCGGGCGTAATTATCAGGTTTCGCCCAAACCTTTAGCGTGAATTCTTAATATAAAATTAGTATCTAAACTAGTATAGAGAGTCAGTACTTTATTATAGAACTGGGTATTCAAAGAAGACTGAAAAGCCAAAATCAACAATATAGATTTTATTATATAAATAAATTAAGAATAAGAAGAAAATAGTCACTATTAGATCATGACATCACCATTAAATTAAAATGTTATTAATCACTATTAGACTATAAAGTTACTACTATATTATACAGAAAATAAATAAAATAATGTTATAAATATAAAGAATTACCCATATATAGGTTATGAAGTCACTATTAGATTATGAATAGTAAGTTATGAAGTTACCACCAGATTATGAAATTAGATTATGATATCACCATTATATTATAAAATTACTAATAGACTATGAAGTTATCATTATATTATGAAGTCATCAATAGACTATGAAGTTACCATTATATTATGAAATCACCTGTGACTATAAAGTTACCTTTATATCTTAGGTCAAATCGTATATGACTTTATAATATAATTATATTATAAAGTCATATGCGATTCTATTAATTTAATTTATAAGCATTTATCAGATATTTAGATTAAGAAAAAGATCAAAGATTAGTAGAATTACCATAAAAATAAATAAGTTATAAATTTTGTTTTTTAATTAAAAAAAAATATCATTAGTATTATAAATCCTATTTATAAATAATTAAAATTTTGTTTAATAAAATGATACTTGTCTTAAAATTTATTATTTGTATTATAAAATCAAAAATTCCATTTGTATATTCTATTAAAAATTTAAAATAAATAAAATCATAAGTTTATCACAAATTTTACTAAATTAACTACAATTATACATCTAAATATATATAAAAAATTACATTTATCCCTAAAATTTAGAATAATATTTAGTTTTTATTTAAATTTGCATCTGGAATTTAAAATTAAAAAAATAGAAAAAATTTCTCTAATAGTAGTTTCTTATATAAGTATTATTTTATAAAGAGAATAGTTGAAATTAAAAGAAAAAAGCTTAAAAAAAATTTATTAAAGTTGCATAATATATTATTTAAGAAAAGTTTGTATTATATTAGATTATCATTATTTTTAATTAAAGTTACATAAATTTTTTATTAATAATCAATATGTGATCTAATATTTCTGGTGATTATTAAATTTAAAAATTAAATTAATCTTATAAACTTAAAATTTCTTCTAATAAATTAATAAAATATATATTAAACTATATTTTCATATAATTATTATATTACTAAAATTAATATTTAATATTTTATTAAAAAATTAACATATTTTTTTAAGTTTACATACAAATTTACCTGCTAGATAATCTAAAAGATAAGAAAATTTGTTATTACTATAATAAATTATTCAATATATATTAATAAATAATTTATTATATAATAACATCATTCAATCAGACTAATTAGAGTGAATAAATTATCATATAATGGCAAGTTAAAAAAATTTATATTTATTTTTTTATTATAGAGTGAGGTTTTATCTTTTTATTAGTATCTATTTTACTAAACGTGAATAATATTATAATATTAACTTATAATTAGATAATATTATAACGTAACTAAATAATACTCTTATAAGAGTATTATCCAATATAATTAGCTTTACCTTTTATCATAAAATGCTAACCTACCAATTTTCTCTATTATTTTGCTAATTTCATATTATTATTATAATAATTTCATTCTAACTTAATCTTAATCAAATGTTTTTTATATTTTCAGTAAATCTTTCACTTCTTTTTTCTTATAAGCATTATATTCTAAGTTATTCTAAAAATGTTAATAAATATCATATAAATTTGTTCTTAGGTTAATTAGTACTATAATTTATAAAATATATTATATTTTAATAATTTCAATATGTTATCATTTTGAAGTTATAATAAAATCACAATAGATTAATTTATGATTTATTTTAACTTACAAATATGTATCATAAAGTATACTCTATAGTATCCTAAATATTTTATATTCTACAAAAAATTAGAGATACTAATGAATAAAAAATATTATAGTATAATAAGATATAATACATTGTAACCATTTTAACTATATATAAGTGAGTGGCATTTTTAAGTTTATAAGTTCACAAATTTCATAATAATAATTAGAAATAAATGTCACAAGCAAATCAGAATAAGATTATCAAAAAATTCAATGATAATAATGTGTTTGTAAATAACTTATGATATTGCAATATATATAAAGGATCTAAAGCAAAAAAGCTATTACAAAAAAGTTTGATATTGAATTAAAGCAAATAAGAGATTAGAAGAGAAAAGGGAAACAGCTTATATCTTTAGTTTTTCATATTAAAAAGTTACATCTGAAAAAGTCTTCAAATTTATCTGAATTAAAAAACTTGTTATTTTAGTAGATACAGAGTTTAAAACAAGAAAACAAAGCTGTAATTTATAATATAGTTATAAAAAAAGCAAAAAAACTGGCAGAAACTAATAAAATAAAACAACTTTATCTAGCAATTCAAGATTTTAAATTTTTTAATAAATGGTTAAATAGTTTTATTGTCAGATTTAATTTATCTAATAGAAGAAGAAGAAGAATATCTCAATACTTACCTGAAGATTTAATTAAAAAATAACATTTATTTTTGAGTTTTATTCTTTTTAAATAAACATAATATGATTATTTATTCAATTTAATTGCTAATCTTGATGAAATTTCTCTTAGTTTTAATTTATCATTTCAATTATATTAGAAATGAAGGAATTTAAACTATTAGTATTAGATTAACTACAGTCTCTAGTAAAAAGAATGATAATGCAAACTTAATTTGCAAATAAATTATAAATTATAAATTGATAATAAAGATTTTTTTTGCAAATTACTATAAAATTTAATAAAATAAATTTTTATTTAAAAATATATTGTAATACTTAGTATTGGGTACTTTACATAGAGCTGATATATTTACAATATATAATACTCAGGATATTTTACATTTTAAACTGTTTCAAAAGAAGGGAATCATTATATATAAGAAGTACTATAGAATATACTTTATGATAAATAATTGAATAATATAATTAATGTTTCTATCACAACTTGATAGTTCATGAATTTTAGCATAATTTTTAAAAAATTTTTCATAACAATAGCAATGATTATATTAATGGTAATTTTAGTTTTTTATCTAATATATTAAGATATATTTTCTGATAAAGAGATATAATATGATTTCAATAATAAAAAGTTTTCTTATTAATATGCATTTTTTTAAGACATTAGTTGACAATTATTTCTTTTATTATTCATAATTTTCAACAAACTATTAAAATTTATCTTGTTTTAATCTAAAAAGTACTTAAAATACCTCACATAACTTGACAAACTTTTTTCTTAAAATCTTTTTAAACAACTATAATTACAACTCATCTTCAAAAAATGTATTACTTTTTATATTCAGTTGAATTACAATATTCACTATTTTTTATATACAAGTAATTCTATATATAAATTTTAATATTTAATAGTTTGTTGATTTTTTTTTATATCTGTTAATATTAAATGAATAGATGTATACAAGTTATACATTTTTTGCAAATACCAAATTAGCTATATACTAAAGTTTTTTAACCAAATATAATTATCAAATACTTTAGACAATTGTAATACTGAATTAAAATATTAAATAAAAAAATGAACAGATTTATATCAATTACATATACTTTATAATATATTTATTATTATATTGATATTATCACTTTATTATACTTAAACTATTTCTATATCATTTTATTCTATACTGATACATCATCCTATAACTTATTATTATATGCCCTAATCTATGAAGTACGAATAGCCTGATTTGCATTAGAATTTATATTTTCATGCATAGCAGCAGGATCAGACCATGATACAAGAAGTTCTTGTATTAACTTAATAAGATTTTTAAGTTCTATATTATTAGCTATTACATAAGAAAAAGCAAGATAAGGAAATACTTTCTCATTTACTCCAAAAGTTGCCAAGCCTATTTGGTACTTTTTTATAGAATCTAATATATATAGATCAAATTTTGATTTCAAATTCCTATCTTCAGATTTTATAACTTGTTGCTGAATTTCAGGAAGTTCTTATACACATGTTATTTTACTACCTAATTGCATATATAGTAATACAAATAGAAAGTTAGCAGGTTTATTAAGAAGCTTACACATTTGTGACTAAATTCTTTCTTGAGCAATTTTTGTATATGAATCATGAATTTTGATAATTTTTCACTTGTATAAGGATAAATGAGATAAAAGATGGATGAAGTTTATAAGCCCCTTCAGTAAGATTACTCAAATGTAGATCTTGAATTCCTTGAATATATAATATAAAAAGACATAATACAGTTAATGAACTAAGTATACATCTTTCCTTTAGATTTATCAAACTCTTTTTTGCCTTCAAAGTTATATCTAAAAAATTTTACCTGTACTTGATAATTGAGTTGTCTTTATGGAACTATCAACAGTTATTTTAGAAGTTAAATTATCATATAGTTCATCAATGCTGTCAGGTTAAAAAGCAAAATCTTCAGGGTATTGATATGTATTTTAGGAGGTAGGATCATCTGCAGAAGATGAGGTGAAAATCACAGAATTGGATGATGCAAGTAGTACAAGGATAATCAAATCTACTCTAGTATTATTTTGTTTACAAATGATTGCAGCATCATGTGTCATAGCATGGAGAAGATATTGTCTCCTTGGTGAATAATACATAGAAATAAAATGTGAAAAAAAATAGTTTCACTCATAAACTTTGAGTATTCTTTGTCTTCTACTATTGAAATTAATTTAATAGCTATTTTTTCTAGAAGTGCTTCAAGAAAAGATTGTGTATTAATTGAACACATCTAATTGAGGAACTTATACAACAGATCACCTTTGCTTTTACTCATACTTGCAACATCAACTGCCAGAAGGAGAAGCAATCTTACAACAAGCTCACCTTGGTAACCACATCAACCACCCACAACGTGTAGTATCAAAGAGTTTATCAATAAGCTTGACCAGGTGATCAGGTTGAAATATGAGTTCTACTGCTATATCTACTAATATTAGTTCTGAGAGTGATATAGTGAACAGATAACGATGTGACTTGCTAATAAATATACATAGGCACAGATAACTACCAACTATTTCAGATGCTATGTGATTGGTTGGAATAATGTCAAAACAAAATCAAACTTAGAATACACTAAGTGTCTCAATCATTGATAACTTGCTAGAAAATTCTGTTAAGCGTACAAGTTTAAAATAGACAAGATTCTGAATGGTCAGTATATCTTAATGTATAGCTTGAGAATCTAAAGCCTGAATATATGAACAAAATAGTGCCAACCTAAGAATGCCAAGCGCATTAGATTACGCATTTCTATTACAGTTATAGGTAGATTAGATGCAATCCATGTATCATTAATAGTATCTATTAAATAAAATAGTGGCATTAATTCAAGATCTTACATGAAATACAGTTAGATAGGTCATTTAAAGCTTTAGGAATAAAGTTGACAACTTTTGATGTAGTATCTAACAAAAGCGTAAATGTCTTTCCATACGATTCTCTATATTTTGGTAAATATTAGAGAGCATATTGAAAAGGGATAAAGTAGTCACCTCTCGTCTCAGCCAGAAGCAAGGAACAGGTTTTATCAAAAATAAATATAAACTGAATGTTAAAGTAAAGATCAAATAAAAAACCAGTGTTATCAAGAGCTTACCGCATCCTCTCATGATATTTAACTTCTTTTATAGTAGCTAATTTATCTTAAATTTCTCTCATATTAATACCTACTTTCTCCTAAAAATCATTATCTGTCTGTAATGCATGATAATCGAACTATTCACTTTTTGTCAAATTTTTGATGAAACTGTTTGACTGAAATTTCAACTGCAGATACCAAATATAATAAATATAAGGTTACATTTCACTGACTATTAGGTTTACTGATAATTGCTATTAGCAGTAGCAAATCAGCGATCCTTGACCTTAGAGGGTAATAAGTGCTACTAACTTCCTAAAGATAATAATATATTACAAAACACTTTTTTACGAGTTTCACAACCAATTGAAACTTGCCAATTCCACTTGACTAAATAATAACTGAGTATGATGCATAATATTTTGATCTCTTTCAGTAACACATTTAAGTACTACAGAAATCTAGCAAATTTTTAACACGACCTCTTGGATCATCATAGTCGACCTTAAAGGTAATCCTGATAATTTGCATTTCCTGTTAGTAAATCTTATTACGAGTTATTGAGTCATTCTGGTTTTACCTAGGAACAGTTGATAATAGTTGATGTTAATGTTACGAAATATCGAGAAATTCTGTCAACGGGATGTATCAAGAATGCAGAAGGGAAAAAGCATCACGAGTTAGTTAAAGTTAGTTAAATACAACAGTATATCAAGTGGATGAAAACATAAATAATGGATAACGAAATGAAGAGTAAATTTTGACATTTGTCACGTTCTACCTATGTCTAATACGTGTTGTAATAACCTCCTAACTACTATATACGTTACTTGCTTATCTTGTAATTCTTAGAATTTCTGAGCCATTTCTCTCAAAGGGATTTTTGGATTTTGAAGAATAAATTCTGCAAATTTTTTTAAATCCATTATACAGAAAGCAGTACAGAAATAATTTTTTCTTCTAGAAAGATCACTTTTTAGCTTCTTATAGTGTAGAGTTGATCACATGTAAATTTGGATCAAATAAAAGTCAGTGATGTAAAGTTGATCATATATGTGGAGATCATACATTAATTCTATTTGAAAATAAGGTATACATATTATGTATTGATTGTTATTTTAAACTTTAATATAAATATTTTATGGAGCAGTAATGTGGTTGAATAACATCTGATTTGAATAGATTGGACAGAAACATTCTGGGATATTGTTTAACAGTTCATGTTCTACTATATTCAAATTAATTAATAGTCCATTGGACATGTCCTACCCAAAGATCGAACTTTAAAAAAAGATTGTTTTTTGCTTTTTTTTGTTTAAAAAAATCATTTGATTATATTTCAATACAAACTTTTCAATGCCAATACTATCAGGTTTATTAAATGATTATATTATTAAAAGTAAGGAAAGACTCAATCAGAGTAATTTTAAGACGTATTGTAAATGTTATATTAATATATTAGGAGATGACAAAGGGAAAATAAATTGTTTTCTAAATAAACAGACTGAATAATACAACCTTTGAAAAAATATATCCATTTTTTCGCAGCAAACATCTGAAATAAAGAATGAAATTTTCTTTGTCAAGAAGTAACAAAAAAAAAGATCATGTAAGTTTTTAATTTTTAACACTTTTTATATAATGGTGTTTTTTTTTAAAATTAATACTAATTTTGAATTTTTTATAGCTTTCAAATCAGTGATACATCCACTTTTTCTGATTTTTCTAGAAAATTTATTATCTGTTCTTATGAACTACTTAATAATATTATTGTTAAATTATTGACAAAAAATGATTTTATACATTATTAATTTGGTTAACAGTTTTTTGTGAATGGACTTTGCATTAGGTTAATAATCTCAAAATAAGAGAATTATTTGAGTTTTTTAATCCTTTTCTCAAACTTCCTGATCATAAGATTCCTGTTAGAATAATTTTAGATGAAGCTATTTCCAAAGAAGATAATGCATTAGAAATTGCATTAAGAAAAGATCCAGATATTACATTTATATTAGATAGCTAGACGATGAAAGAGTGAATTATTATTAGGTATAATTTTAATGACATCAGAAGGAAGACCTTTTGTGTAATAGGCAATAGATATTAGCTCAGAGAGAGAAATATATATTGAAATAAAAGAAATACAGAAACCATAATTAGTATCTGGGTTGTTTGACCTGACTCAAATTTTTTCTCAAATCAGGACTATCATTTTTATAATACGAGTTCTAATTAAAAAAATCTGCTAGGTCAGGGTCAAATTTTTGCTTAACCTGAGTTGATCCAGATGATCATCTGATTTAAATATTGATATGCTAGACTTTTTTTTTACGTTATGTGACTTTAATTTGTAAAATAAATAATAAGTAGACCTATCGACATATAACTTCTAGAATTGTAAAGTGAACAATTACAGGCAGGTAAAAAAAAATATTGATTATTAAACATTAACTAAATCATATAGAACCTTTGCAATAAAAGGAGAAATCTGCCAGAAAAAATCAATTTTACTTCTATACTTATTTTTTATTTTTTCTAGCTGATTTCCCCTTTTTTATTGCAAAGGTCCCATATTTTTTATAAAGCAATAAGTTTCAGTATAGTAGAACAAGTTTTTTCTGACAGAACCTATGATATTAACCAAAAAGATATGGTCTTAAAACTAATACAATTCACCTGTATGTGCTTGAAAAAGATGTAAAAAAAAAGAATTAGGATTAATTCTCACAAAAAAAAAAATAATAAATTTTAAAATAAAATAAACTTTATATAACACTTTTTTATTTATGACATTAATATAAACAAGAGAAAAAAATGCTGAAAGCTTGTAGAAGTTTATTGTTTTCTATTTTTTAGAATTTACCAACAAATTCAATTTACAGTTTTTTTTTTAAAATGATACTACAGGTAACTCAGGCACAACAATGATTTTAAAAAATCTTACATCTCTTTCTTTTCTTTAGATTCTTCTTTGAAATTAGATGGTTTCTATTAGAATTAATGCTTTCGTTGTTTTATTTTTATATTACTCTAAAATTATTTTATACTTAATTAAACTGTATATAAAAGAAAAAATTTTGAAATAATTAAAAAATATGTAAATTACTCTTATAAGATAAAAATTAAATAAAACTAATGTGACTAACTCAACCATCAAAATCTGTCAAAATTCTTATTAAAAATAAAGAATTTTTTTTGTTTATAAAAAAAATATTAAAATAAATAAATTTATAATAAAATAAATGTAATAAGCATCAAATCAGGTAAGTATTTTAAAAATAAAATCACCTTTTGTATCTTTTTCTTAATTTTTAGGTAGTATTAAAATGCAGTGTTAAATCGGTTAAGTATTTAAAAAAATTTTTTTTATATATTAAACCACTTTCCATTAAGCCAGTACAAAGCAACCCTAAGATTTCAAGTTGAGTCTGGATAAATAATAATCAGGTAAAGTCAAATCTGAGTTGAATAATGATCAGGTTGAGTCAAATTCAGGTTTTGTAATTATTAACAGGTTTGAGTTCGAATATGCCTTAAATCTGATCTGACCTGATCTTTACGAAGCATTAACCATAATTGCTGAATTAAACAAAAAGTATTAGAATTTATGTTGTAACAAATAATACAAGTGCATATACTACAACTAGATAATTAATTATTTAATATATGCATATTTTTTAACAAATTTTTAAATATTAAATAAAAATTAAGGATTTTAAATAAAAAATAACTTTTTTACCTTACTATATGTATTAGTTTAACCTTTGCATAAGTGAAATATTTAAGGAATTAACTGATTTAAAAGTAACAATGAATTATGCAATTAAATTTGACAACTTATTTTAGAAATGCTAATAATAAGTTCTTATAGCAAGACTATGTAATTAGTAAAAAATTACTTATAGAAAATATTATATAATAGCAATTTTATATAAAACTCATTAAATAGTTATTATAAAATATTAGTGTTCCGCAAAATCGGATCGGATCAGATTTTATCCAAATCTGATCCGATCCGATTTTCATTTTTCAGGATCCGAATCTGATCCGAATCCGACGGATTGAATCTCAAATCCGGATTCGACGGATCAGTTTGAGTCCAAATCCGATCTGATCCGAATCCGAAAGTATTATTGAAAAAACGAATTTTCGGTTCTAAAAGAGATCCGAAAATGTTTCTTTTCAATGA